GAGCAATAGCACAGCGGGTAGGGCATTTGCCTTGCACGCAGTCAACCCAGGTTCAATTTCCAGCATCCCATATGGTCCCTGAGCACTGCCAGGGGTAATTCCTGAGTGCAGAACCAGGAGTAACCACTGTTCATCACTGGGTGTGACCCAAAAAGAAAATAAAGGGCTTAATGTCTCCAGTGTGAGATATAACAATCTTCACAGTTTCCTTTAAGGAAACTTTTTGGATCATTTTTAGCAGATTATTCATAACAAGCAATACAAAATAAATTAGTTAGGACCTGCCTTGGGGGCAGGCTTGAGTGGTGGTGGGAAAATTTGAAATAATGGCGGTGGGAAAGTTGTAATGGTGGTAAGATTGTGTTGGAATACTGAATGTAATAAATTATTGTGAACGACTTTATAAAAATAAAATAAAATGGAAAATAAAATAAAATGAAGGGCTTCCAGAAGCATCTGAAAATTTTCCACTTAAGTAGGAAATAGTTCCCCTCTGCATGCATGAACTCATGTAGATAGAGGATGTTGGGGTTCACAATGATTCATACAAATATGAAACTTCAGGCAGAGTCTCCTGCCCCCTTGCCTGGCTGTCCTCACGGGGGCCCCTTGAAGGGGGGAAGGTTGAGTTTCCCTCCCTGCCCCGAGCAGAGTCCCAGCAGCCGAGGACCTTCAGAACCAGCCACAGCCATGCTGAGACCACTCTCCACATGTCAGGACAAACCTCATGCATGAAGGAACCCACAGAGGAACCCAGGCATGTGGGTCCCAGGGCTGAGATCTCCAAGCCTGCTCGGATCGGAACTGGGCCTTCTCCACCCAGATCCCCCATCTTCCAGTAGGTAGGCGTTACACCCACCAGCTGCTGCCGGCACCAGGTGGTTCCCATCAACGGCCAAGACCCAGAGACTATAAAACCCAGCTCCCAGAAGCGCACGGCTGCAAATGCAGCCACATGACATCTTATCTCATTTTTACTTTGGAGAACCCGACAGGCTACCAAAAGTATCCTGTCCGCATGGCAGAGTCTGGCAAACTTCCCGTGTCGTACTCAATAAGCCAAATACCAGTGACAATGATAGGTCTCACTCTCCTATCCCTGAAAGAGCATTGAATATGGCTCTTTTAAAATCTCAGGGCTAGGAAGAAGGAGACATTTCTGGGGCCTGCTCGAGGCAATCGACGAACAACAGGATGGTCGTGATCGTGATGAAACTTCAGGAAAGAACATGTGAAGTCCTGACCTGCACGAAGTCACTGTTAGACAGAGGGTCCAGAAATGCAGCACCCAAAGTGCGCCTGTTGGGGCTAGGAGATGGTCCATGGGCCGAGTGTAGTCTCTGTGTGTTTTGTTTCTATCCTTCGCACTGGTTGTGGTCCCAGAAACAGCAGGCCCAAATGTACCATGCAGGTTTAAGGGGCTCAGCTCTAACCGTCCTCACAGAAAGGACACCCCAGGGTGTGTCCTACATCACACTACATCACACCAGGATCAGTGGCTGTCTGGGACAGCCCCAAGGGCTGGGGAGCCAAGAACACCCGAAAGTTAGAGTATCCATTGAGAACTGCTGGGTGCACCCCCAAAACCAAAAGCAATTTTTAAACAAAAATTGTGTGTGGGGGGAGAAGTGTCCAAAGAGAGCTCATTGGACTAAGTGCAGACTTTGTCAGAAGGAGGTCGGGGTTCCATCCCTGCTGTCACATGGTCCTCTGAACACCACCAGGAGTGACCCCTGAGCACTCGATTAGAAGCCCCCTTGGGGCACGGCCAGGTTTGGCCCAAAGCCTTAAAAAAAATAATCGATAGCAGCAACGCACCAGCTGTGCCATGCCCCTCGGCACTGTGGCCCTCCTGAAAGCGCAGTAAGGCGGTTAAAGATGCCACAGACCACATGAGCCAGGAAGGGCACCAAACTCAAAGCCACAGCCGCAGTGGCTGACTCTGGGCTTCTCTCGGTGACACAAGCCTCCAGTGCCAGGTGTCACTGCCAGCAGTGCATGCTGTGATCTGCTCAGGCTGAGCCCCCAAAGGGATGTGAAGTTGCTGTGGCACGGGCCCGCCAGGTGGGCATTACTACGCCGCCCCACTCATCAGCTGAATCCCACAGAGAGGCCTGGGCTGCCGGCTCACGTGCAGATGGAGGGCCAGGGAGGTGCCACGCAGACGTTGGCCTTGTACCCACCTTCCATGGGCTGAAAACGCAGTGCCACTTTGTACGTGAACTGACCCCTGGCAGTAGAGAAGTGCAGGGCACTGGGTTAGCAGCGAGGAGCAGTTGAACCCCCTGAGTGGGTTGCGTGAGGACGACACTGGGCCCAAGTAGGAAGATGGGAGTGGGGTCTGCTTAGGAACTCCGGGAACAGGGTCGGAGCTATAGTGCAAGGGGTGGGCACTGTAGCTGATGCGGGTTCAAGCCCCAGCACCCCATATGGTCCCCTAAGTCCTCCAGAAGTGATCTCTGAGTGAAAAAGACTCCGGGACACAGGCCAGAGAGACAGTGCAGTGGGCAGTGCTTGCCTTGCATGTGGCTGACCTGGGTTGGTTCCTGGAAACCCATATGGTCCACAAAACCCACCAGGATTGATCACTGAGAGCGGGCCAGGAGTAAGTCCATGTGTGGCCCAAACCCTGCCTCCCCCTCTCCCCCACTCCCAAACAAAACTCTCCAGGAGAGAGGCCAGTGAGACAGACAGACCAGGGGAGGCCCTGGCTTTGCACACAGCTGAGCCAGGTTCAATTCTCTGGCACTGCAAAGGGTTCCATGAGCACCAACAAGAGTGATGCCGAAACTCTGAATCAGGTGTAAGCCCTGAGCACCGTCAGGCATGGCCCAAACCTATCTCCCTAAGAAAGAAACACTCAGGGAGAGAAAACTCTACTGGAGTAGGTTAAAGACCTTAAGATCAGACCAGAGCCCAGAAAATACACCAACGCAAACATCATGGGCAGAGCCTCATGGGCAGAGCTCTCCAGGAAATCAGGCACAGAGAAATCTTCAGTGGCAAGACAATGGAAACAAAAACAAATAGGATTACATGCGATTAATTAGTTTCCCAGAGCCAGAGCAACAGGACAGAGGGGACGCGGGGAAAGTGTTGGCCTTGGATGCTGCCCACCCAGGTTCAATCCTGGTATCCCATGTGCATGCCCCTCCCCACCCTGGCCAGTATTGCCAGGAGTGAGTACCGGGCATCACTGGGTGTGGCCCCAAGACAAAGCAATAAATAAATAAGTAAATAAAAGCTCTAATCAAAAGGCACCCTACTATACCTTACTAATGGGATGGTATGTTTGCACACAACATTTCTGATGAAGAGTTGATATCCCCTATCTATAAAGCACTCACTAAACTTATCAATAAAAAATCCAATGATCCCATTCATAAAGGGGGTGAGGTGAACACACTTCCCCAAAGACGACATCCAGAAGGCCAAGAGTCATATGAGAAAGTGCTTGTTACTTAGAATTAGGGAAATGGAAATCAAAACATCAATGAGATGTCATCTCATGCCTTGAGAATGGCACATATCCCAAAGTCTAGGAATAGGGCTGTTGTGCTAAACCCAGCTAGTGGGAATGTCGTGTGGTTCAGCCTCTCTGGAAAGTTCAGCCTCTACAAAATAGCAGTAGAACTCCCAGATGAGTCAGTGATCCCACTTCTCAGCATCAATCCCCCCCCAACACACAATCATTCATTCTGGAGGACACACACGCCTGTGCTCATCGCTGTGCTTAGTGCCACAGCCAAGCTAGACCAGCAGCCCAAATGCCCAACTAGGGAGGAGTGGAGCAAGGACTTGTGGTAGTTTGAAGTAATGGAATACTCCGCAGCTCTAAGAAGGAACACAATTGGGGCCAGAGCGTTAGTACAGAGGGTAGGGCATTTGCCTTGCACGCGGCCGGCCTGGGGAATGCCCGAGTGCAGAGCCAGGAAGAGCCCTGAGCATCACGGGGTGGGGCCCAAACAGCCAAAACCAGAGAAGGAAAAAACACAACTGTGCACTTTTCAGCAACATGGATTGGACTAGAGGAGATCATGCTGAGTGAAGCCAGTCAGAAAGAAAGGGACAGATCCAGAGTGACCTCTGTGTGTGTGTGTGTGTGTGTGTGTGTGTGTGTGTGTGTCTCCTGTGTGGGACCTAGAGACACACAGGAAGGGAGCAGCAGCAAAGTGCCAAGAGTAACACAGTGAGAGAACTGATCTACCCAACGGAGTTTGTGTGTGTTGGGGGCGCAAGTGCTCAAAGGAACGGGTATTGGGGTTCTTGGGGGAGGGAGGTGGGTACAATGAAGTTGGGTGTGGTGTTGCAATTATGTACATGAGAAAAACAAATTAAATGTGAAAAACAGCCTAGGAGAGGGCTCGGGTGGGGACTCAGCAACATGACCCCACAGCACCACCAAGCCTGCCTGGTTAACGATCGTATTTGTGGGGGTGTCAGGGACCACTCCCTGGGAACTCCACTAGGCCACTGTTGCCCATGAAAGTTTCCGGTCACTGAAAGTACGGGGGCGGGAGGGCACATGCTCAGCAAACAGAGGCTCCCTGGCTCCATAGCACGTGCCATGGTACCCTGAGCAGTACCAGGCTGACAAGAATTACCAGAAGTGGGGCTGGAGCAATAGCACAGCGGGTAGAGCGTTTGCCTTGCACGCGGCCGACCCGAGTTCGATTCCCAGCATCCCATATGGTCCCCCGAGCACCGCCAGGAGTGATTCCTGAGTGCAGAGCCAGGAGTAACCCCTGTACATTGCCAGGTGTGGCCCAAAGAGAAAAAAAAATACCAGGAGTGAGCCCAGCGCGCTACAAGCACTGAGGAGAGCCTTGAACTTAAGCAATGCTTTTGACTGTATAGAGATGGGCGCCTTCATGGGTCACACTGAAGAGGGAAGAGGCTCTATGGCTACCCTGTGGGGCAAGGGAGGGTCATCAGGGCCTGGGACCGCTGTCCCCACGAGGTGGGCTCAAAACGTCACAATGACTGGAGGCATCAGTCACTGCTTGTTTCCAGGTTTTTATTCGCTGTTAGAATTCTGCTATTTCTGTACATATATATATATATTCTCCTGCCTTTTGTCAAGGGCTCCAACCCAGCACGCAAACAAAGCCGTGCACGCAGGGCCGGCCTAGCTGCGTTTGTCCTGGGATGGGAATGTCACAGCTAATCGCTATAAAACCTAGAAAGCACCGCGAGACTCAGACATCTGCCTACACACTATTGGCGTACGGGGAGACACCAAACGTTCAAGGTCACATGTATTTACATTCTGGGGGGCAGGAGGCCGAGGGGAGCAGGGCGGTGGCGGCTGGGAGGGGCCGGGGTGACATGGAGGCCACTTGGATGTTGTCTGGTGGGTACCGAAGGCAGCGTGTGGACGGAGCTCCTGAAAGCTGGCCGCGGGGTGCGTGGGCAGCGGGAGCGTGAGACAAGGGCAGCCCAGGCCTGTCTGCCCAGTGCCATCCGGCTCAGAGCAGAGGAAAGATATGATGAGGGCACCGAGTTCTGTCCCAGCCTGGCTGGCCGAGGAGGACATCCCTGACCCCTCCCTCTGCTCAAAGGCTGGCAAGGCAGCACCTGAAGGCTCCTGATGTGTGGGTGACCCCCCCGAGCTGGAGCGAAGCAGTGCGCCCAAGAAGGGGTACAGCTGGGTTTTGGCAACAAAGTGGGGACTGGGGAGTCAGCAGGGATCTGAGGCAGTGAGTTCTGCTCCCACCGTGGGGGCAGAGGGCAGGCTGAGGCTGGGGGCGGGCAGGGAGAGGGCGTGGGGGCAGAGGCATCAGGATGGGGGGCTGGGCCTACTCCAGAGCCCCCGAGGGGTTGACGGGGGAGGCGGCCCCCGAGCTGTCATGGCCCCCCGCTGCCTCCTTCTCCTTCTTGCCACTGTACTGGCCGATGAACGAGCCATCCTCGTTGAACTGCACGTCCACGCTGCCGCCATAGTCGGCCAGGCTGTCATCACTGCCCAGCGGTTTGATGTCCCCATTGAGCGATGGCTGGCTGCTGGCAAAGCCTTTCTCCTCGTTGTCACTAGGGGCCGGGCAGGGGGGCCGAGTGTGGCAGGTGCTGGGGCATGGGAGGGGAACGCGGGGGCTTGGGACGCAGGGGCAGAGCTGCCATGCTATGTTGATTTTCAAGCTCTTAATTTCAAGTTTGGTCTGTTTTGTTTGGGGGCTACGCCGGCAGGGCTTCCTCCCGGCTCTGTGCTCAGGAATCACTCCTGGTGGGGGCCGAGGGATGTCTGGGGTGCCAGGGATTAAACCCAGGGAAGCCACATGCCAGGAAATGCCCTACTCACAGTACTGGGACTCTGAAGTCCGAATCTCAATTTTTAATTTGAGGGGGAATTTACACCCAACTCCACGCTTCAAGGTTCTCAGCTTGGACTTCGGGAGGGGCCAGGCACGAGCAGGTCTGGGGCTCCCCATTCAGAGCCCCCCCCCCGGCTTTACAGCAGTGGGGATGCGCCAACAGAGCCTTACCTCTCCAGGGACCTGCCGCCCAGGCAGCACGGGGGAGAGAGACACACATGTCAGCCCACGTCCACGCATGCAGGGTGGGGAGTGCACCTGCTGCCGCCCGGCTTACCTGTATTCCCCAAACGTCTCATCCTTCATGGGCCGGGCCTCTGAGTCCACCTGGGTATCCTCTTTGTCCTTCACTGCAGACACACGGACAGGGCCAGCTCTCTCTCCCGTCCCTCCCAGGGACGCCGCCACCCCGAGCCCACGCTCCCCACGGGCCGGGGCTACCTGAATACTTGCCGCCCTTGCTGCGCTTGATGAAGCAGAGGATGAGCAAGATAAGGAGCAGGAGAATGATGGCACACACGAAACCGATGAACCAGCCCTCGGTGGCGAAGCCAGCAGGCGAGAGCGGCACCCGGCCTGGGGGAAGAACCACACAGGCACCCCAAGTCGGCACGGCGGGCGACACGCAACCCCCCGTGCCCCCAGAAACAGGGCAGGCCCGAAGCCAACACCAGCCACAGAAGCTAGCGGGGGCCATTCCGGGATGGGCCGAGAACACTCCGCTGAAATACTTGCTGGCACAGCAGTGGGGTGCAAAGAGTAATAAGGGGGGCCTGGTTCTGGGAGGGGGTGGAGGGGCTCAGCCTCACTGGTGCCGTTGGTCTTCACGGTCATCTGGTGCAGGATCCTGCTCTCCTTGAGCAGACGGATCTCATAGTCGGTGTCTGGCTGCAGGTCCAGCTGCGTGTACGACCTCTGGTTATAGCTGACGTCCTGCTCCGCCACCTTCTTCTCACCTGATGGCCAGAGCAGGCAGGTGGAGGCTGCTCCACGCCCCGCCCCTTCTCCTATGCTCCGCCTCACGCCTCGACCTGCCCCACCCTTCTGCCTAGGTCCCTCCCCCATGTCCCACCCCTCACCTATGCTCCGCCCCATTCCCCGCCCCTAAGCCCCCCGCCCCACCCCTCAGCTCATGCCCTGCCCCTCCACTTATGCTCTGCCCCCCCACACCCCTCCCCTCAGTCCAGCCCACACCCTGCCCTACCTCCCGCACCCGCGACCCCCCTAGCTCCTCCAAGCCCCGTCACCCCTGAGCCCCCTTGTATGCTCACTCCCGATAGCTTTGAACAAGATCTTGAACCCGAAGTTGCACTGGCCCTCCCTGGGCACCCAGGAGACCACGCTGTAATTCTCGCCCGTCGTGGTTGAGATGTTGCCAAAATCCAAGGTCCCTGGAAGACAGACGAAGATGAGACCCCAAGGCGCTCAAGATACACCCTCCTGGGGTTGCGCTCGTCCGCTACTCACCGGACAAGGCCATGGTGCCACCCTCACGCACGATGGCTTTGCCAGGCCCCTCCCTCGTGGTGGCCTGTAGCTGGAAGCGGTAACGCAACTGGGGGCTGAGATTGGTCAGGTTCTGGGTGCGCATGTCAGGGTTAGGCAGGTCGAAGGACAGCTGGTCCTGGTCCCCATCATCCACTGTGGGGCAGGAAGGAGGTTAGGGCTCCCCGCCTCAGAAGCACCGCGGGCAACCCCCGCCTCCATCCCTCAGCTGGCACACTTACAGGGCTGGTAGGAGAGCATGTAGCCAGTGAGCACCCCATTGTGGCGGAGCGGGGGCTGCCAATGAACTTGCAGGCTGGTGTCTGACAGGCACTCCAGGTGCAGCGCTTCTGGCTGGCCGGGCACTGCAGGCACAGACAAGCAGCAGGACACTCCCCGGGCCCGTGGGCACGGGCGAGGAGAGTGCGGAGAGCCAGGGGCACAGCCTACCTCCCTCAGGCGTCTGGAAGACCTGCTGGGAGGCAGGCCCCAAGCCCCGGCCGTTGAAGACCCGCAGCTCCAGCTCGTAGTTGCTGTAGGGCCGAAGCCCCCCCAGGGTGGCGCTGGTGGCGTTGGCGGGGACCACCACGTGGTCTCGGTGCGTGTGCCTCTTACTGTGCCTCTGCTGACTGCCCAACCACCAGTACGTCACCTGCAGGGGTGCACGAGAGCCCCATCCGGCAGCGAGCCCAGGAGCATGCTCTCCCCAGCCCAGCCTCCGTGCCCAGAGCTTACGTTATAGCCCCGCAGGTGGCCCCTGACAGTCGATGGCTCCACATGCTTCCAGCTGACCAGCACCGTGCTGTAGTTCACGATCTTAATGCCTTCCAGCTGCGGTTTTGCCTGGGGGTCTGCAAACAGCGGCCACAGGGTTCAGGGCATAGGTGGGGCCGGTGGATTTGGATGGGCGGGGGAGAGTACTGAGGAGCAGCTTGTGGATACAGGGAAGAAATAGCAAAGACCCCGAGGAGAATCCAGGAAAATATCTGGCAGGGGAGGGGTTATAGCTGACGGTGCCCAGGAATCGCTGGGGGATCGAATCCGGGGCTCTCTCATGCAAAACACGCACACCAGCCCTGGGAACCATCTCCCCTGTCACCCCAAGAAAATCTGAACTGGGAGTCCAACTGAAAGTCTGTCGATAATCCCACGCCAGGAGGGATGGGGTGGGTGGGTGCGGGGATGGGGATGGCCAGGCAGAGCCTGCAATGGAAGAAAAGCCAGTGCGATGGGGGTATTGCAGGCAGGCCGGGTCATGTGGCTGAATGGCCTTTCCGTGAAAGACGTGGGCCAGGCGAGGGCCTACACCTGGCCCGATACTCACAATCCTCGCCCGAGTAGCCCACGGTGACCTGAGGCTCTGGGCCCTTGCCCTGGCTGTTGACCGCCTGCACCCGGATCTCATACGGTACGAAAGTGGACGTATTGGAGACCACCAGGAAGGGCTGCTCCACTGTCTGCTCCTGCCAGGATTCGCGGGAGCCCCGTGGGCGCCACTGCACGCGGTACTGCAGCTGTGGCGCGTTCCAGTCCATCCACTCAAGAGGCTAGAGAGGCAGCAGGAGAGAAGTGGGTGGGCAGCCGTGCCGGGCCTGCCTGGCCTCTGGGCGCTGGGCTGCGGGTGCTCACCTGCCACGTGATGACCATGTTGTCGGTCTGGTTCCCTTCACCCTTCACGTCCCTGGGGTTCTTCTCAGGGGCTGCAAAGGGACAGGTGGGCGCTGCCATGCCTCCCGGCCCCAGCACGCCCGAGCTAACAACACCAATGTCCCCAGGCACTGTGAACAGTCCAGCCTGCTGGCTCACCCGCCTCTGGTGTGGCCACAGTCTCGGAGTCCGGACTGGGCTCGCCAGGGCCATATTTGTTGATGGCGGTGACCCGAAAGGTGTAGTGGACATAGGGCGACAGCTTGAGGATGCTGGAGGTCTGGTTTCCGGTCACCTTGCCCAGACTGCGCCATTTCTCAGGCTCTCTTTCCTTATCCTTGAATTCGATGTCATACTCTGCCAAGGCACAGGGCAAGGGGGAGACAGGGGAATGGCGGGTACAGTCTGGCATTCCCCAACGCGCCCTAGCTTAGACGGAGAGCCTACTGCTATGGAGTCACAGTCAGGGCTGTGAGAGGGGCTCTTACTTTCGATGGGCGCATTGTGGTCGTCAGCGGGGCTCCATGTCAGGTTCACCTGGTTCTGTTTCAGCAGGTGGTGGTCAACCACCTCAAGCCGGGACACTGGGCCAGGGCTCCCTGTGGGCCAGCAGAGGTGCATTTGCTGCCCTGCCTTGCTCCCATCTGAATGGGTGACCTCCCCTGACGCGGTTCTTCCCAGTACTCACCCACCACCAGGAGCTCGGCCCGGCTCTCCACCGTGTCCAGCTTGGTGCTGGCCACACAGCTGTAGTTGCCTTGGTCGCTATAGTCCAGGCTGTAAATGACCAGGTGCCCGTCCTCTATGAAGTACCTGGGGGGAGAGCACGTTCATCCTGGGACGCCCAGTGCCCCCGCTTCCCCTCCCCCCTTCCCCTCGGCCCGTACTTGTCACTGTCCCCGAGCTCCTGCAGGTCACGGCCGCCCCACCGCCAGGTGATGCGAGATTCCAGGGATTGGTCAAAGGTAGCGTGGCACGCAAATGTGACCCTTGAGCCTTTTTTCTCGATGGCACTCCGGGGTCCCTGTGTGATCTGCGTGGCAACTGAGGGCAGGGATGGCAACAGTCACCCTGGGGCCTCGAGGGCACTAGGGTCTGCCACCAGTGGGGTTCGGTAGAGTGCACTCTGACCTTTGACCTGCAGGTTAGCCACAATGGTCACATTGTTCTGGTCATTGGCCGCCTGGCAGAAGTAGTGGCCAGTGTCATTGATGTGCAGCTCGTGGATGCCCAGGGTGCCATTGGTATAGGGGAAGAAGCGCTCATCCTGTAGTACACTCTTGCCCTCCTGGTCCAGCCTAGAGGGGAACCCTCAGCTCAAAGCCCGTGGCGCTGGCCCCCACCCAGCCCAGCCCCCCAGCGCGCGGGGCACACACCACTGAACACTGGGCACAGGGGCCCCAAAGGCCTTGCACAGCAGGTAGGCGCTGCTACCCTCCACCGCCAAGTACGTCTCATTGTCTGCAGTCAGGATCTTGGTCGGCAGCTCTGGACAGAGTCATGGGACACAGGGACTCAGAGGCGGGAGTGGGGGCTACATGGGGTTCAACGGGGCACTCCCAGCCCCCAAGAACCCATCTCATTTGCTCCCTTTATATGTACGATGTCGTCTGCTGGGTGCCCCCCAATTCCCTGGTTCATTAGGAGGGGCATTCTTGCTCAGTGTCAAGAGCACCCCCTCCACAAGTGCAGGGCCAGATTATGCTGGGCAGTGACACTCACGGACAACGTAGATGTATGCGTTGGCTAACAAGACGCCATGCCGGTTGCGGGCCTCACACTGGGTCACCATAGAGTCACTGGGCTTCAGGTTGCTCAGGACCAGGTTGCTCAGGGGCCCTTGTTGGATCTGGTACTTCTGGTCCTCAGCCAGTTCTGTGCGCACAGAGCCCCGAGCCGTGAGCCACGGTGAGCACCTCCATGCCCCACAAACCCTGCCGGGCCCCAGTCCCAGCTCACCATTCACAGGGATGCCGTTGATCCTCCAGGTGACCTGCGGCTGGGGCCGGCCCTGTACTTGGCAGTCCAGGCGGGCTGTCTCTCCCGGTGCATACAGCTCGTTCTCGGGCTTTCGCAGCCAGTAAGGGGCAGCTGCGGAGTGGGAGCCGCCTGAGTCCCACCTGCAGTGGGGGCCGGCAGGGCCCACCCAGGACCGTGCACAGCCCCCCACAGCCCCATGGGCCCCTACCCTCCACGATGACTTCGTAGTCGTGCCGGGCGCTGCCCAGCGAGTTCTCGGCCAGGCAGCGGTACTTGCCGTCGTCCTCCTCGCTCACATTCAGCAGCTGTAGCGTCTTGTTGTAGTTCTGGTAGATGACGCGGTCAGTTGGCATGGAGCCGCTCAGGCGCAACCACTTGATGCTGGGTGTGGGGCTGCCCGGAGCCATGGGTGGGGAGAGCAGAAAGGAGGTCACGGACAAGCGGCCCAGCTGGGGCCCCGCCACCCAGCCCGCCACCCTGGCGCAAACTCACAAGCCCTCGGCGATGCACTCCAGGACCAGAGGCTGGCCCTGCAAAGCCACCAGGTAGCTGCTGGAGTTGGTGGGGAAGAGCAGGCGGGGCTTCCTGTCGATCATGCTGTTGGCTGGAGGAGCACAGAGGTGACAGGGCTGCCCAACAGTCCCCGGGGCTCCAGGTGCCCTCCTTTGGGAAGGAGGCGCTGCTGGGAGAGGCTCAAGGCCTCTAGATCGGCAGGACTGACCAGGACGGGGCAGACTCACTGGCCTATTTTGTGTTTGGGTCACCCCTCACTGTGCACTCAGGGAGCACTCTTGGCAGGCTTGGGGACCCATATGGGGTGCCAGGGATTGAAGCGGGGTCATCCACAGGCAAGGCAAACACCTTCCCTGTTGTGCTAGGGTGCTATCCCAGGACTCACTGGCCTTGACCCGGAGGTCAATGGGCTCCTTCTGAATGATGGTGCGGGTGCCCGGGAAGTGCGCGTGGCAGATATAGTCCAAGTGGTTATCCGAAGTGAGCACGTTGGCGAAGTACAGGTTGCCATTCTGGCCCATGGTCACCCGCTCATCCTGCTTGATGTGCAAGATCTCTGCAGTGGACAAGACAGGAGGGCAGGGTGAGGGTCCCCCCATCTCTCCAGTACAACAGCCCACCCCAGGTGACTGCCCCTTGTGGGCCACCCACTGCTATTCATCCAGTAGATCCGAAGTGGCTCTGCGCTGGGCGGCGGGTGGCAGGGCAGAACCACCGACTCCCCTTCCTCCACCTCAACAGGCTTCACCGTCTCTTTGGGCCACTTGGGGGCACCTGGAAGGGACCGATCCTGGTGAAGGCCGTGCGGGGTCAGGGAAAGGGGGACGGGGGCTGTCCTGGGGGAGCAGAGAGGACCACAGCACAGCTAGACCAGGCCAGGCCCAGTGCAGGGAGGCAAGGAGAGGCAGTGGGGGAAGGGGCACTGTGGAGGGATGCTGGAGTCAGACCCTTCCATCACCCTGACACGGCGCCATGGCAACAGTTCCCAAGGCAACGGCCGGGTGGGGGAAGCGCGCCAGGGAGGGTAGAATGCGGCAGGAAACCCCAGGGACAGGGCGACACAGACAAGCCAGGACAGAGGCAGGAGTAGGGGGGGCAGAGAAGGGAGGGGGAGTGGGACAGAGATGACCAAGGGTGGGAGGGACATGGACACGGAACACCAGCCCAGGGCTAGCAGAGACTCAGACACAAGCTGTCCGCCAAGTCACTGTCTGAGCCCCAGCCGGTATGCGGGGAGACGGCCTGCTGGATAGACCGGGGTAGGGGCTGAGGCGGGACCTGAATCATCCAGCCCATCCCCGCAGCAGGCCCCCCGCCAGGCCCCGTACCCTCAGCCATGAGCCACGTCTCCTGGGACATGGCAGTGCCCAGCTGGTTGCTGGCAAAGCAGCGGTAGGTGCCCTGGAACCTCTGTGCGAAGTTGCTGTTGTTGCCTGTGATGGTGAAGGAGCCCGAGTGGGGTGACTGGTGCACAGTGACCCCCACTTCCTCGTGTGGCTTGAAGTGGACACCGTCCCGAGTCCAGCGGAACCTGGGGGCACAGGGGGATTGGAGGTGCTGGACCAGGGTGTGGCCAGGGTGCGGGGCAGATGTTCGGGACTTGGAGGCACAGGACTGGGGTGTGTGGTGCAGCCACTCACTGTACTTGGGGTCTCCCTCTGGCCTCGCACTTGAGGCTGATGTCATCTGTGGGGAAGACCACCAGGCGCCGTGGGGACTCTGCGGTGATGACAGGTGGTTCCATCACTAGGAACAAGGCGGGGAGGGGCGTCAAGCTGGCTGTTCAGCCCAGGGCCCCAGCGCTTGACCCCTGACAGTGAAGGGGAGTGGGGGAAGGCAGGTGCCACATGAGAAGGGGTAAATGTGGGCACAGAGCAGTAGGCCAGGCCACACCCTTCCCAGGGGCACCCCAGAAAGTGGTACCAGAGAAGATGGCAGGGCAGAGACCAAGATCACCTAGCACCTAGCACCACTCCCCGTGCTGCTCCCACAACTTACCATGGTGCCCTTTATCTGTGATCCAGGCAGCGAGAGGAAAGGAGACAGAGAATGAGGCGCAGGGGCACAGGCAGACCCCAGGAAGGGGAGGGCAGGACACAGGGCAGCAGAGAGGACTCTGGGGGGCCCAGGCCGGCCAGGAGCTGTGAAGGTCACGGACACTCCCAAGCCCTGGACAGACCCTGGGTGCAGAGGGGGGAGAGGGCAGACCACAACCCCCGCCTCCTAATCCAATTAAGCACAACTCCTTTTTCAATTAGCCGGACAGCTACTCCCCCCCGGAAGCCATCCCTGCCCAGCTGTCCTCCCTCCTGCCTTCAGCCCTGTTCCCGCAACCTGCCACCAAGCTTCCTGGCGTGGAAGAGCAGAGGCCAGGTCCGCAGCCGCCATCCCAAGACCAGACAGAGACGGGAGAGGCAGAACAGGCAGGGCACCCATGGGCAACTGCAAGTCTGGTCTCCATTGAAGACAGAAGGGGTTCCCCAGAGACCCTGCAGAGAGCCCTGAGCTGGGGCTGGGCTGGAGCCCACAGGCCAAGCTCAAGACAGAAGCAAGCCCAAGGAACAGAGGCGGACAAAGCAGGGAGGCCACCGGAGGTGGGGGGCAGGAGTCCTTAGAGAGGTATCAGGTCACTGCTGCATCTCCTGAGGCTCAGGGGATGCTGGGCCAATGCTCTTGACGCTCTCCCTCCTGGCCCCCAATTCCTCCTGCATCCCCCACTGACACCCCCGCTGACGCCGCCCAGGGTCAGGCATCAAAGGTGCCCCTGCATCTGAGCGGAGGCGTCCATCTGAACTGAGTGTGAATGTGTGCTGTGCCAGACGTCCTCGCTTCCTGTCTGCGACTCCTGTGTGTCCTTTCAGGGCACCCAGCCTCCCTGGACCGCCATGGAATGAGGGGCGTGCATCTCCCCCACAAACCTGGAGCTGCTCTTCCGCTGTGCCTCCCCAGGCCAGAGAGACCTGCGATGAGCAGGGCAAGAGGCTGGGGCCCACCCTTGGCACTGCCTATGGTTCCGAGTCCACCCTAGGAGTGACCTCCATATACAGTGCCTGGAGTAGCCCCTAAACACTGCTGGGTGTGGCCTAAAGCCGAATAAGGAGAGAGGAATCCCCAACTTTTGGATGCATCTGCCCTCCTCCAATCCCCAAGACCTGGCTGGACCCCAATGCCTAATGCCAGAAACGGGACAGGGGAAGAAGGGGACAGGATTGGGGCAGAGAAGCAGGTTCTAACCCTCACATGACCCCCCTCCCCCAGAATGCCATAGACTGGGTTTCTTTCTCTCTCCATCTCTCTTTTCCTCTCCCCTTCTCCCTTCTCTCGCTCACTCTCATTCTCACTCTCAAGGCTTCCTCCTGGCTCTGCACTCAGGAATCACTCCTGGCGGTGCTCAGAGGACCAGATGGGATGCCGGGGATCCAAACTAGGTTGGCCACATGCAACACAAGACTCCTCTCCACCATGTCTGTGTTTCTATCTCTGCTCACCTTCAGGAGAAAATACCATCGGAGTACTGGTCCCGGAAACACTCACGATTGGCAATCACATGGCAATAATAGCCCTCCACACCCTGACCACAAGGCCCAGATGGAGTGACTCACCTATTTCCCCACACAGGAAATCTGCACATGCCAGAGATGTCACACTCTCACACTCATGGCCAAATTCAACCTCACACACATTCACACCCAAGTCCCAACACACACACACACACACACACACACTCCCAAATCCCGTCACACGCTCACGCCCAAATCCCACCACACGTATCCCCACACAGCCACCCACACATACATCGCACCACACATCAGTTCCCACACAGACAGCCACAGCTACTCACAGGTGTCCTGCTACACCCCTCCCGGCCCCCTGATCCCTACCCCCGCCATCCACACCAAAGAAATTCAACCAAATCTCAAGGCCTCTGCAAAGGCTCCTTTTCCGTCGAGTTTCCCGAGCAGGGCTGGGATGGCACTATCCAAGTCCAAAAGGAAGCGACACTGGAACCCAGGTCTTGGGAGAAGCCACCAGAGGCCGGAGGAGGCATCTCGCTCCCTCTGCCACACCCCTGGGAAGAGGAGGAGGGCCCCGCGCCCGGCCGCTGTCCGCGGTGCTGAACCAGAGCGCGGCCGCCCGCGCCTCTGTCCGTGGTGCTGACACACCCAAAGGCTCGCAGCCAGCACCCTGCGTCCCTCCCGCCCACGAAAGGAGCGAGGGAAGCGAGCCCGGAACTCGGAGGAGGGAGGCAGGAGGAGAAGCGGACCCAGGGCGGCAGCCACGGGAGGCGCCGCGGCTCCTCCAGCTACTCACATTCCTCGGGGATCTGGATGAGCAGGCACGGGCTGCACAGCAGGAGAGGCCACAAGTACCGCAGCGCCACGGCCATCTTCTTGGTGGCGCGGGCGGCTCGGCACGGCGCAGCCGGCCGGCTTCAGCTCAGGCCTGGCCCGGAGGGACGCAAGCTGGCGGGCAGGAGCCAGGGGTGGGGACACTGGCAGAGGGAAGCGGGAAGGGTGGGGAAGGAGGCGAGAGAACGGATAGGCGTTAGTCACTAACATCTGGGCGAGCCCAGACTCCTGGCCCCGCCCCTGGCCCCGCCCCTGTTGGCCCTCCCCCCACTTTGGAGGCTCCGGACGGACGGAGAAAGCAGGAAGAGGCTCTGCCCCAGCTGGGTCCTCGGGTCGCCTTTCATTCCCTCCCTCCTCTGTCTGCGTCTTCCCCACCAGCTGCCTCTCCGGCACCAACTTGTTGCCCCAATCGGCTCCTCTGGGAATGCCACAGGCCGCTCCGAGAACGCCGCCCCTCCTCCCACCGCGTGTGACTAGAGCTGCTCGCGGCAGGCCTGGGTGGGCCAGGGCCTTGTGGGTTTGTGTCTGCCCACAGAGGACACTCTTCGCTAGGCCTTTCCGCTGCCTTTTTTTGGCTTTGTTTGGGGGGCCACACCCAAAACGACAAGCTGCTCCTGGCTCTGCACTCAAGAATTACCCCTGGTAGGGCTCAGGGAAACATACAGGATACCGGGGATGGAACCCGGGTGGGTCTCATGCAAAGCAAGTGCCCTTCCCACTGTGTCATCCCTGTGGGCCTTCACGCCCTCAGAAGTGACAGTACATCTGGAAGAGCTCTACACAGGGCTGGCGGCGCTGTATGGGGCTGGCTCAGTGCTCACGTGCGATGCTGCACACTGGTGTAGTGGGTCTTCCTTCCTGTTTTTTTTTTTTTGCTTTTTGGGCCACACCTAGCAGTGCTCGGGGCTTACTCCTGGCTCTGTGCTCACTCAGAGAACACTCCTGAAGGGGCTCAGGGGACCATATGAGGTACCGGGGATGAAACCCAGGCCAGGCATGTGCAAGGGAAGGCAAGCACCTTACCCACTAGACTATCTCTCCCCTTCCTTCCTTCCTTCTCCAGTGTTTGGGCCACACCCACTGGTGCTCAAGGCTTATCTTGGCTCTGTACTCCAGAGATCAATCCAGTGGTGCTCTGGGGAAGTCTACAGTCCTGGGGTCTGAACTTGGGGTAGCCCCGTGCAAGACAAGTGCCATAGCCCCTTAGAGGAATGTTGTCACAGACAGAGAGGCGCTTAGATTGTGGGTTTCACAGCCCAGGGGTCCCTGTCCTGGTGGGGTATGAGAAGACGAGGGTGGGGAGCAGGCTCGGGAAGACGAAGGCAGAAGGGAAGACGGAGGGAAGAGGAGTGCCCCCTCAGTCGTTCCTCTGACCCCAGAAGTGCTCCAATCCTGTGACTGTACTTGGCCCTCCCTTCCAGCTGCTGGGTCAGGCAGGGCCTCTCTCACGGCCTCACGGCTCCACTGTCAAACAATGTCTGCCCCAGCCCGAGTGCCACCATCAACAAGCAAGGCTGAGGAATCTCTGTGCCAGGGGCTGGAGAAAGAACAGCTGCACAAGAGCCAGTGCGCCCAGCAAGTGAGTGTGAGAAGGGGCGAGAGGGCAAGGGTGGAGTCTCTGCGCCATACCGGGCATCCCCCTGAGACCCCAGAAGCACCATTAGTTCAGTCGGGGCCTGCTCGGATGTGTAGACTGTCAGCTGCCACGGGAAGCCTGGGTTTGTCTCGTGTGAGGTCACCGAGGGGGGCCTGGCGTTGGACGGACTGCCAGGGTACTGCACAGGGTGAAAGGAGGGGGCACTCAGTGAGATTCCCCTCAAAGCTCTGGGACTTCTCAGAGCTGGAGGCACGAGAGAGGAGCACTGGGCTGCCTCAAGGTGTCTGGAGGCAAGAAGGCACGAAGCGGCATTCGCTGGCGTCTTCCCTGGCTCCGCAGGGCTCGGAGAAGCACTGTGGATGGCCGCACCCGCCTCTCCCAGTCAGGGCAGCCTCAGCCTCTACTTCAAGGCCTGTAGAAGCAGCAGGAGACTCGGATCAGAGAGCCCGGGATCAAACAGAGCCTTGAGCGCTGAGCTGCTCTTAGAGGGGGAGGGGAGCGCCCCCAGAAGAGCCTGCCCGCCAGCCAGCTCCTCAAGCCCTGGAACAGGGTTGGCCTATGTCCCTGGGTTGTGCAGGGCACCCCCACCGTCTGGTCTCCAGGCTCCACCCCAACCAATGCTGCCCAGTCTCGCATCCCAGCTCTTCTGGTTTCCCGGCATCTGCCGAAACCACCCAGCTCACCATTGGCCAGGGCACGCAGACAGGCAGGAGCCAGGAGGCAGGGAGGCCCTGACAGCAGGGAGGGGCTCCCCACAGCTGGGCCTCTGCTGGGTCCCCACTGCTCGCACCATTCCAGAGCAAGGAGCTAGGGTAGTGGGCTTAGCGGGAAGGGAGGGAGACCCACAGCTGCTGTACAGATGGAGCCAAGGCCACGTCTGCAAGGGGGCTGGGGAAGACTGAGGGGTGACAGACAGGGCGAGAAAGAGGCAGGAGGGGCTGGGGGAAAGAGCGCACAGAGCTGAGACAAAGACAGAAAGAGCCCCAGACACAGGAGAACCGGGGGTGGGGTGGTACACAGGGGGTCAGGCAGCCGCTGAAGGTGCTGACAAGAAGAGTGAGGGGCGTGAGGGCGGCACGTGTGCGCCTGCGCAGCGCCGCCGCTAGGCCCTCCTAAGCGGCTGGGGAGGCTCCAGGCGCGGGTTGTGGGGGGACCTGGCCTGCGAGAAAGCGGGGCACTTCTGGGGCCCGGAGGGTCAGTCTCACAGAGGCAGAGGGAGAAGGGGCAAGGAAGAGCCGACGGTACGACAGATGAGCGAAGGGAGCGGGGTCCCCACGCCAGAGGACCCCAGTGGGAAGCCCCCGTTGCAGCCAAACAAAGGCGGGGCTGCTCCTGAGCAGGTGGGCAGGCCCGGCCGGTCGCGCCGGGCTGCGGGCATGAGGGTGGCATCTACGCCCCGAGCTCCGGGTTCCTTTAAGCGCCTCCTCGCCCTGCGGGGGCCCCCCACCCCCAGGCTGCGGCTGGCGGGTTTCCATGGAGATGAAGCCCGGCTCTTTGGCTGGGCGAGGGAGGAGCCAGGGAGGCGGGGCGAGGCTCATGAGTGACAGGGATCACACAGAGCGCGGTTGGGGGCCCCCAAAGGTACGAGAGGGGGGGAAGTCTTCAAGATTGCTGCTTGGCCCTTATGCTCCCTCTTACCCCTCCCTAAGGCCCCCCCCCCCGAGTGTGCCCGCAGCACCCCTCTCAGGCTGCGGTCTCCATGGCAACCAGGGCTCACCTGTAATGGACCGTTCTGGAGAAAGAGGAGGAAGGGGCGGGACCACGGTTAACCCTTTGTGGGAGAGCAGGAAGAGAGGAAGCCTTGGCCCGGCATTTCCTAAAAGCCAGTTGTGGAGACCTGGGGCCACAGGCCAGACACTCTCAGCACTGTGAGCCCACCAACTCCCGGCAACTTCCACTCCACCCCACGCCCAAGCTGCCAGCCCAGGAGGCCAACTTGCCTCAGGCCCGGCCCAGCCCCCTGGGTCGTCCTGCCCCCAGGGGACGGCCTATTTGCTAGGCAGATGGCACGCAAATGCAGGGGCGGGGCCAGGAGGGAGAAGTGACCCACATCCTGCCACACCCCAGCGGGAAATGCCAGCCCAGGACTCATCTAAATGCTCTTGGGCTCTGCAGATTCTTGGATGGTTATGACCCCCTTCTCAAGCACCTCCCATACCCTAGCATCCCAGTCTCTGCAGTCCGGGTCAAGGAACAGTCTGACTTCCTGCTGGTGCACAAGAGGAAACTGAGACCCAGTACCACATGAGCCAGGACTCATCACCCCAGAGCGCCAGCTGCAGAAACTGAGGCAGGTGAAATGAATCTCGGAGTTGAGGAGGCCTGGGGGCCCAGGCTGGGGGCCGAGAGGGTCGCAGGAGAAGCAGCAGAGCAGACATGGGACGGAGGGGGCGGCCCACGCTGGGAGCGGGCACAGACTGCCTGGAAACAGTCCAGACAAGGCCAGGCCTGAATCCCGCACCCAAAGGGTGAAAGGGCAGTGGGGGACACAGGAAGCTCGGGGGCTGACAATGGGGCCTCTGTCCTTCCCGGGGCCTGGGCATTCCTAAGGCATGAATTCCCAAAGCAGGAAGGGAGGGCCAGGGGAGGGGCAAGAGGGCACCCCATTCCCAAATGCCTGGACCACCGCCGCCAGAACCCACCCCTTCCTGGCACAGGGCCCGCTGGGGCACGTGAGGGGACCCACGTGGTCACATGAGGCTGCGTGGGTGCATGGTCACCAGAGACATGACCCCAGCATGAAACAGGAGGTGCTGCCCAGGTCCATGCAGGCTGGGGAAATGGGGGTGCCTGGGGGCTCCACCATGGGACTAACTCGAGACAGACTGGTCAGCAGGTGGACCCCTTGGCTCCTCCAGTGAGCGGGCACAGCACCCCGCTGAACAGAGTGGAGACTCAGCGATCAGCTGGGGGGGGGGGGGCAGGCTAGGTAGCTGGGGGCACTGGACAAAGAAGCATCTGGAAAGATCGGCAGCCTTGCCCTCTGACCACAGAGTTCAGGAGTCAGGAACGTCCTGCGGCTGGCTGAGCTCGGGCTTCCTGGCCCTGCCAACCCCACCCTCAGCCGGGCCCGGCGCCCCGTCTAGATCAGGGAAGGCCTGTCTGGGCCCTGCCCAAAGGATGGCGGCAGCTTGTGGAGCTGCAGAGGGCTCATCCCGCGCTGAGGCTCGGAGCCCCGTGCCCAGATCTGGTGCCAAGGTGAAGGCGCGGGGAGCGGGGCAGGGGAGAGAAGAGAGGCGCGCAGACAAAAGGGGAGCGATGGAGCTAGCACCTGCGGGCGGGGCGGGGCGGGGCGGGGCGGGGCGGGCAGCAGGGGGAGGCGGAGGGAGTGCGAGAAGGACCAAAATGGGAAGCGGCCGCGGAAACGGGGTGGGGGGCGTGGCCAGCGGCCGAAAGGCCCACCTTGGGAGAGAGGCAGGGCGAAGCTGGCGGCCAGCTCCA